GCCCTCATATAGCAAAAGAAGGCTAGTCAATCTAGTCCAGACATTTCAACATAGAACTTAGCACTGAACTGCAGCAGTTCAAGTTGCCAAAGTCACAAAAACGAAATAATAATCTGAAAAGTAGTAATGTGCAAAATTTCCAAGATGTTGCAAACAGTCGATATACTCACAACACTGCGAACGACAGCTTAATAGCTTCTACAGTTAAAGTAAAATAAAAACCAACTGTCGGTATTATACATTACACTATAATTGAGTTCCTTATAATAAATTTAAAAGCATAACTAAACAAAATCCATAAATGGACTTTCCCATACGAAAAAAACTACATATCATTGTTTTTACGAGTTGATCACGGATTGAGATCAGTTTGAAAACCACTGAAAACCAGGGCAGCCTTTTCATCCTAGTTTGGGAATCATCGGCAGTACGCACCCACTACCAAGGTTCGAACCCAGGACCTTCCGGTTACAAGGCAAGCTGGCTCATGTGCCATTCAGCCACTGGAACAAGATTCAATGGCCAGCCCATGAATTCTAACTTCTACCAATTCGTGATTTAGCGCGACCTCAACCATTGTCGTTGGTGGGACATCCATCCACACACGTGACATCTAATTGGACCTCACTGGTCACAACTTCTCACTAGAACTCCAAGAAACTCCGTCCTATACAAGTCACTAGCGAGCATCAGATTAATTTTTTATAGTTGGTTCATAAGGATTTGTTTCGTTCACGCTAAATCACGAGTTGGTAGAAGTTAGAATTCATGGGCTGGCCATTGAATCGGGTACCAGTGGCTGAATGGTATACGAGCTTGCCTTGTAACTGGAAGGTCCTGGGTTCGAACCTTGGTGGTGGGTACGTACGGGCGATGATCCCCAAACTAGGATGAAACAGCTGTCTGGTGGTACTCCCTGGTTTTCAATGGTTCTCAAACTGATATCAATCCGTCATCAACTCGTGAAAACAAAACTAACCCTTACAAACCGACTATAGAAAATATATTATTGTACTTGTTAGGAACAATTTATGGCTAATATGCAAGTCTAAATGTAGTAACGCTTAGATGTTTGACTTATCTGGATGCAACTGTGAAATCACATGCGAGGCGAAAAAATGTGTTAAATTAGTCAAACCAACAGTAATACTTCTGTATTCAGAAAAGAGATTAAAAGCGGTTTAAAACTTTGAGTGATTCATCACACCATAACTTCACAAATGACCACTTTCCTTACTAGCGGTCGACTGACTAATTCACTGAATTTCATTGCAGAAATTTACACAAAAGTGCAGCTGTTCATGTTCCCCACAATGAATAAACTACACAAATATAGATGACAACAAAACGCAAAGAAAATACAATCGACTGAAGCGTATGTGAGAAAGAATAGGAATAATAAGAAATTAACGCATCTGGAATGTCGCAAGAAGTGAATACATCTCTGAGCCATTGAGAACGATTTTGAGCCATATCACCAACAGTCTCTGGCCATTGCTTCTTAGAATCTGTTTCTAGAATCCCAGGCAGACAATCTACAACTACCTAGGTGGCTCAAACGAACAGTCGAAAACTTAATAGATTGATGACATGACGTTGGAGATAGAAAGCAAACACCAGTGGTCAAATATAACTAGCCTTTCCATATCTTCCACTTTCAATGGTCATTTCTCACAGCCATAAAGGAGGACAGAGTGAATTGCTGCATAAAAGATACTTCCTTTGACCGATAGCTAGATATCAACGTCTACACCACAGACGATGTAAGTTGGCTAGCCCACACACGCGACTTCTGTATCCTTTCTGATAATTCGGTCAGCAATCAGTTCACTAGGACGCATGCAACTTACCAGATAAGTCAAGTGGTGAATACGCTCAACCATCGCGCTCCTTATCTTTAGTCTGGGAGCCAGTATAGATCAACTAGTCTTACAGCACCACCACCTTAAATTTGACAGGGGCGAATTACATACATAATATTCTAAGATTTATATTGGCAGTCGAACATACCCTTCCGTATCGAAAGTTACATTTTCATAAAAGTGTTTACGGAGGCAGCTGTGGAGCAGTACAAAAGATCATTTCTTGAGTGCACAAAAATATAGGCTCACGATTAGTGAATCCATCTTTCTAAAACTTAGCTCATATTAACTGAAACAACATTAGAATAGTTTCGAAATGTTGAAGATATCTGTTTATGTTAAAACGTAATAAAAGTCACACAAAACACGCACCTACCTCAGAATTTTTTTCTACTATATTAATAACTTTCGAGAAACGTAATTGATTAGGATTAATGTCCTTTCGAACAACCAACTGTTTACAGAGATTGCAAAGTTCAGATTCAACTGCAATATGAAAAACTGTTTCTCCTTGAGTAAACAGCGATTCTAAAGTTGGATCACAATCTGGTTGACTCAGGAGAAATAAAGCAGCTGATTCCCAACCAACTCGTGCAGTAGCCATGAGTAAAGTATCTCCTGGAAGCGGCGTCTTCATTGACTCATCATTCAAACAGGAAATAGGCAGGTCAGTGAACCTGTAATTCACATTAGCAGCTTTTTCAATTAATCGACTAGCAAAATTATATGAATTATTTTTTAAGGTATCACCTGAAAACAATAAACAGATAGTTAATGTTTTTAAAATATATATATACGTATATTTGAACAAGTGAGCAGAAGATATTTAAGAAGATAATGGAAGATTTTAAAAAATTGAAACTAGCAAGCCACTTTGGATGTCATCGAGTATTTATCTAATAAAATACAACATACAACTACAAAAAATTACTGTGAAATTAATTCCATTAAACAAGAGGAAATAATAACTTATTACATACAGTTTTATAGTAATATTCTTATATACTGATGAAATATATGATCTAACGAAACCCGTAAGACTGCACATCAAATTTGATTCATAAACTATTGTGTATGTTCAACATTCGACGCGATAAAACTTAAATCTTTTCGGTATATTATGCCTACAGAAAATGTATTTCTTTGATTGGACACTACGTCGTAACTAATGTCATGAGTCTAATCCTTCGTTCGATGCAGGCTGAATTCTGTCTGTCAAGTTTGCAATCCGAACCTGGGTCAACCGGTACTGCAGTCAGAGACGCTACCATTGAGCTATTCGGTCTCACGATTTCTCTGCTTGCTTTCTTTATCGATGCAGTTGAGAAATGTGAACTAGAACTTATGCACTGTTCGGTGATAATTGTAATGTAGAATGCATTTCATAAATAAACAAAGTTGTTAATGACACCAAATCAGGTGCTAAAGGAAACCGATTAAAATTGAAACGGTAGTGGCTTCGTGCTTGCTTTTTCTGTATACAATTAAAAAGGTAAGTGGTGATCACAAAAGCTTTGTGTGTTTATGAAAGTCCGTGGAAGGTTATTACTTCCTGGCTGCCTACACCATGGGAGTTGATTTCTTCTTGGAATACCTTAAATAGAAGAAGCATTGGTGTTGCGCAACCGCAGAGCCCAAGGGACAACTACTTGACACCGGTCACACGACCTTTTTATGTTGGTTTTAAGAGTTGAGTCCGTATTAAGATCTTACCACCGGCTGTGGACTGCCACAAGGTAGGCTGGTATGTACAGTCTTTGGGGTTAACCTTTATTAACATCTCTTCTCCGATGCTGCAAAGCTGACTTGTTGGTCATCCGAGGAAAACACCGATTTGCCAGAAGTACTTCGCTCACAGACCCCCCACATAGTGTAAACGACCTCTACCATAACGACAACTGTTTTTACTTTAGTCATTTTCCAGATAGCCTTTCTAGTACGACGGTCTGCAGGAATATTAGTTCCAGCCAGTGTAGCTCTTTCGGTCACTGTGACATGTAAACCTGACCTACACCTCCAGGTAGAAACCGTCAGTCAGGAGATTAAAGAGGAATAATATATGAACTCAAGTTCCCCCAAAACAATTTCATTAAAGTCTCTGAATCGCCTGGTTCAAGAGTTTTTATGAAAACAAAAACAAAAGAATGGAATTTAATGATGCTGGTTGATTAGACTGTGTTTCATACATGTATATGTCAATCCTAAAAGCACAGAGCTACATGAACTGATTTAAGTAACCATGATCCTATACTAATAAATCGAATATATTTGCTATCTGCCTAAAAAAACAACAATTTTCACGAATTACAAAAATGTTAATGACATACCATAGAATCCATAAGCGATTGGATTCAATGAACCACACGGTTGAAATTGTCTGACAAGTGCTAACCACAATACACACAGTCCTTGATTATTTGGTAAATCGAAATCAGATTTCTTCACATAATTGAGAAGCAATTCAAATATATCTGAGTTATTGTGTAAAATGGATAAATGCAGTGGTGAACTAAAAAAAATAATAAAAGCGGGAATTTTTCATTCACAGTTTCATTGACTGAGGAAAACAAAAAATATACATCAAACTCGGAAAATTCTAGTTTCTCTTTTTTTACGGGATAACATAGTAATCTTAACAGTACTGAAAATTCAGTTTTCAGATATAAAAATTCAATTCGACAAAAGAGTTTTATATGGAAAACATTTTTATTCCTTTACATTCCCACTGAAACATAAGGCTTTAAGCTAGAGCTTCGGAAGTTTCAGTAGTAGTAGTTATATTTCTACAGGGTGGGTTTCTAGCCTCACGTTCAACCTTTTCTCTTTACCGGACTTACTGCCGGCTTAGCGAGGTTTAGGCGTGCGTCGGCCGAGGATCGAACCTCGGACCACGTGCGTGGTTGGCGAGCGCTCTAACGCTGAACCACCGACGCACTTTTGTTTGATTTAAATACGTGTTTATAAAGTTTTTCCACTCACGAATTCAAAATTATAAAAGCCATACCTTTAATACAAATATCTTACAATGAAAAGGTTTAAATAGGACATTTGAACGGTGCATGGGTATTTTATTATCTTTAGAGAAGTAACAATGGAAAGTTTCTGTGAAATGAAATATTCTACGAATAAGAGACTTACTTTCCTTCTGTGTCCTGACAAGAAGTGTTTGCGCCTTGTAGAAGTAATGTTTTTGCAATATCAATAACAGAGTCAGTCAACTCACTGGCACCAAGTACTGCTAGGTTATGAAGCAGTGTACGATGGGATGTTGGATCACTGAAGTCACACTTGATCGCAAATGAGAAAAGAATAAAGTTTTCTAATTATATAGAAGTCAGAGAGCAAGTGCAATTACGGTCATTTCTAACAAAAAGCAATAATTCTACAAATTTGAAAACTGTTGAGGGCCTGAAACTTTGAGATTATTGTGACACTAGTTTGGCAGCTTTTTTCTTGGGGCTAAATGCATAAAAAGCAAAAATTACAAGACAATATGGTTTCACAGGTTACTTTTTACAATCGAGATATTAAATATGCCAAAGACACGATGTACGTCACAGTAAGAACCAGAATCTTTATCCCAGGTAGCAAAGTTGACAAAGACAGGAATACCTTAGAGTCATTACTGCAATTTATCACGAAAATCTAGAAGATAACGAGGGGAACTTGTTAGCGTTAGAAGAGACGCAAATGCTGTCAGAAGCGGGTGAGCTGCCTTCCCTTAAGTGACTTGTGAAAAATACCTGCAAAGTTCAAAGATAACTGTTCGTGTTAGACTAAATGTTTTCTATAAAAATACGCAGAACTTTTAAATAGAGGATATATATCAGCAACGGAAGTCGGCAAGGCAGACAGGTAGCATTATTTCTATGGCTTATCAATCGTAAAGCTGAATGTTTGCATAAAATTAAGGCCAACATCCTGAACAAATAATGGTAAGTTTTTACGTGAATTAGAGTCAGGGGTTAACAAGTAACATTTACCACTCACAAATTAGGAGTTCGTATACAACCACCTTTATAAAAATCTTAAAAGTCCATACTAAACGGTGACATTCTAAATCTTAAAATAAACTTACGTATGAACCATGGCGTAACAAAAACTGTACAGCGTCATACTGTTTGTTAACGAATGCAAACTGAGTAATAGGTTGTCGTTGGTTCATAGGACCAATAAGAGCGTTTGGATCAGCGCCCAGATCAATAAGTTTTTCAGCAAGTTCAAAATGTGAAGCCTTCAGAGCCATGAAAAGTGGAGATAACCCATCGTCATTCAACTGATTTGCCAGTAACTTTGCCTAGAAAATTAATATTAATTCATGTTACATAAACAGCAATTGAGCAAACAGATGCCATAGGGAAATACCCAAAAACTGATAACCAGTTTTACAATGTTAATGTACGGACCAAAAAGCTCTCGAACGCAGAGTAATATCCCACAAAATATAAAAGTATCTCAGAATGGTTTAAACCTGAAAAAGGATACCAACGACATTATTGAACTAAAGTATGACGATAAGTAAACAAAGTAGTAGGACACTATGAAATTAAAATGGAGATTCCATAAGCAAGGGATTAAAACTCTGCTACAGTAAACTTTACAGGTCAAGTTACTTCACTAGAAAAACAATTTTACATAGGAGTTCTACGTTGAAAATGTTGGAAACACGTGCATAGTTTTTCGCCCAATGATAAGGTGAAAAATACATTTATTACGGCAGTGTGTGGGAAAGATCCATGATTTAGCAAAAATTACAACATAAACTAAACGACAGTGACTAGTTTTAATAAGGAAAAAATACCTTAGCAGGATTAACTTCAAGCAGAGACATAACAGTATCGTTCCTTCCAAGTTCAATAGCTGAATGTACAGGAAATTTGGAGTATTTTTCGAGGAAAGATTGCAGCACGGGTGCAGGTATTGTAGAAATTTCTTCTGCTGAAAAATCATGCTGTCAAATATAGGAAATAATAGCACAAAAATAGGCATACCCAAATACCAGATATAAACATAAAACAGTGATCCATAAGCCGAGTGGCTCTCACACTATATGAAGACGAATACAAGGACAAGCAATTTTCCCTGGTAACTAGAGGAATTAAGGCGATTTCACACCTAAAACTTTATTTAAAAAACAGTAGCACTTACTGTGACAATAAGCAGGGCAAACAATATTCTCTTGCAAGTAACATAAGACTAGACAAACAATGAGCCTCACACTTTTCCAAAACGCCTTTATAGGCCCATGAAATCAACGCTTCACAAACATTCTGACGGTACGCTAACAAAACGATGTAAATCAAACCGGTAGTACCTCTTATATCGATATATTCAACACCATTTTCTGTGTAGGCATTCCAAACCCCGCCCCTGGCATCTAATACAAATTTATGTCCCGGTACAAGTACATCTGGCGTCTTAAACAATACATCACTTAAGAGTTTAACATTGTTGTAATAATGCACTCACCTGTATTTCGTATTCAAACACAAACTTTCAACAAACGTTAAAATGTTACCACAGAAATTTGATTCCCGATTACCAAGCTCTGCAGCAAGTATTCCATTTTCTTTCTCTAGTTTCTCAACCCTAGTTCTCAGCTTTTGGTATTCCAACTTTATGTTAGAAACATAAGACTCGGATATCATCCTAAGGTCACCATAACCTTGAAGTTCAAAATCGACTCTGGATTTCAAGATATTCAATGAAATATTCCGATCCTAGAATGGGTTGTAAGTGGAAGGATTTGCCTCCTTCTCCAACAAGTATCTTCGCTTGGTCAGCCTATTCTTGAACAAAGCAATTAACAGTGGAGACATAACTTCTTCTGAAAGTGGGTTCTAGGAATTAATGTCTAGGTGAAAGAACCAGTAATTCAATATCCCTTTTAAGAACTAATGTGAACTTAATTGATTTCTTTGGCTTCCCTTCTTGAATGTAAAGTGAAGGTTCCAGATCTACGTTGAACTTCCGCGTAGTCTGTCCTGCCACCTGACTACCGTTTCTTTGATTGATTACGAGTGGAGTAGTACGGAATTTTGTTACATGTGGTTTGTAAAATTCCGTGCGTTAAAACTGTGCTGCTACTATGAACAGAGTTAATCCTTCCACCTGTTAGCCGTCTGATGTGATCGAAATGGAAAGTAATAGTAAAATTCATAACAATAGCAATATGATTAGTGCAAAATTATGTGGACTTATAAAAAAGAACAAACACACAATGATTGTGTGTAAACTATTGAAATATAATTATACTTTATTTGATCTAATCCACAATGCTCAAACTTTTTACTGATATTAAATGGACAGATGATCATTAAAATAGTGCTGAGAGTGATACAAGGAAGAAAGAGCAGTAGTAAAGCACAAGTTTAGATGATGCCCACGAATATAGTCAGGTAAACGGGTTCCAGAAGACAGTCTATTGGGACAAAGTCCTTGCGTTGCTGTGATTATTATTATCCAAACTCCGCCCAAAGCTTTCCACCAAAGACGCAGTAACCTGATCTGTTAGTAAGGAGCGACATGGATGGCGAACTCCAAACGGAAAGAAACGGAAGCTCCCTAGAAAGTTTGCTCTCTGATGCATGATCTTTCGTTGATAACCTAGAAAATATCCGTTATCACCCTTACAATTGGAAGCCTGACAAACAGGATAGGTTGGACGAGAGGTGAGTGACCCTATCCCGTCAAACCACCAATACTACTGGAAATTCAAAGCCCAAGTTTGAAGGAATGAGAAAAACAGTGTTAAAATCACCACCAAGCCGATGGTAGTTAAGTTTGAAAGGACCCACTTTCATCTTCCCCTGTTTTATTCCGGTAACCCATAACCCCTTCTGTCCACTGTCCTCTCCCATATCCAATATCCATTATCGTATTTACGAGATTGTGCAAACCAATGTGATTTCCTTGTGTCCGCTTCTTGGTTGTAAGGTAAAGGTTCCTGGTCTTCGGTAGACTTCTGCGTAGTTCGTCCCGCCACCCAACTGTCGTAGCTCTGGTTGACTCCCAGAGAAGTGGTGCTGGGAGTAATTATATGCAGTTTGTAGTATGTGGTGAGTTAAGACCGTATCGCTACTGTGAATGGAGTTGACCTTTTCACTGATTAGTAGTTCAGTGTGTTCGAAAAAATCGATAAAAATAATTGTGATAACAGGTATAATTAGAGTAGGTTATTTAGACTTAAGAAGAAAAACGAAAAGAACGCAAGCTTACAAACAGATATTGAAATCCTAAATTTATATAATGTCAATAATAATAGTACGGAGAATCAGTAGTTGGATTAGTCAGGAGAGGAAAACAAGGGAGATTGTGCAGATGTAAAATGACGAGTTTAGGTGTACACCCCTTAATTGTGTGTGAGTTTTAAGGCCATTTGCAAGCTGGCCATGTGTCACTGCATGATTGTTCAGTCACCGCTTATAGCTTTACATGAAGGGTTCAGTTGCCACACCTACCGGTAGAGAATCTCAGGGACGATAAACTCGAAGTGAAATGAAATGGCAGCGCACTCGAGTCTTTGCCTTCTAATGAGCTATCCTTCTGGGATTTCCACGAGGAAACCCATACCTACTCAATGACAGAACATCTTTGTTTGGGGATCCTATTCATTTAACAATAATTATGATAGGTCCTCAGTTTATGCACATAAGGGACTCAAGTTTACAGGCAAAATCAATGTGATTAGTAATACATGTATGGAGTAAGTCAGTTCACAGAGTATATATACACAAGGAAAGGTAATGGAATAATATCAGTAAACATACAAGTTAAGAACATCAGCTGCCCTGGGATATAATCCTTCGATAAACCTGATGATGGGCTATGCCAGGATGATCGAACGCGACTAACCTTGGTGCCGAACTTCTTTTCATCTAAGCAGTCCTCTAACCATGACAAAAGCGCCCCACCTATTCCTGCCTGACCTATTTTGTATGGGAGAAGGTCACGGTGAACAGTGCCAAATGCCTTCCCCAAGTCTAGGAAGACCACATGGTCTGGTACATTCCTATCCCAGCATGACATCAAACCATAAAAAGCTGATAGTAGGTTTTCCAAACACGGTCTACCTCTCCTGAAGCCATTTTGTGCTTTGTGGAGTCTATTCATATTATGGATACTATATCACTCAAGGTATATTTGCAAGATATATACAAGGAGAAGTTATAGAGCTTTTGGAATGAAGATATACATTTGCAATGTATCATGCAAACCATATGGGTATTACCATGGAAACTGTAACGTTTTAAATGAAAATATAACCTTCCCAAACATTTGTGTCGCTGTTTATTTTCCATCACAGCAACCGAACTTTCAGGGAGCAAAGAATACGAATGAAAGAGCAAGTTTTGTCTTCATTAAGGGGCCATTAAGATATAATAGAGTAGATAAATTACTGAGAGTTGGTTTAGGATTTTGGGGTTCTTCAAAACTTTTCTGAAAAGGTATGCGTGAAATCACTCCTGACCCAAGTGTTGCACCAGTTCCTGAATTCTAGGTAAGCGACATAGTAAATGTGACTTGGGTATTCGCTACGTAGACCATAGCCCGGATTCCGTATCCCTGTGATGGTGCTGGGCAGTAGGGGGTTGTGCTCCGCCGCACAGGTGGGTGACCGTTAGGTACCACACAGTAAATGCTTAATATGGCCTACTCTCAAATGACACCACATAGTCTGGGAGTTCAGTAAGCTGCGGGTCTGTAACACGTACGTATCTCATTTGCTTGTCAAAGTACACCGTGTGTGACCACAGAGGCGGAGGGCAATAATAATATGTATACGTTCCTCTCTATGCGGGAACACACCAATTCTAAGGCATGTGTAGGTATTACTTAAATTTTGTTTATGATCAAATTATATCGTTGGCGTTGTTTCTTTATTTGGTCTATAAGTACGGTCTGCTCAGTACTCATTAAATCGAGAACACTGAGAGATATATTAACACTGTCTTCACGTTAACAAAAAATCACGTTTGTGTTGGATGGATCACAAACACGTGGGTAAAAATTTAGCTTTAATTCAAATCTCCCATATAACTTTGCTGTGTAGGGCTACGAATCTTACTCTTGGTTTTAGCCTAATGATGTAAAAATGTAAAATAAGTAATAACATATTTATTCCTATCTATGTAGGACACACCGGTTTTACAGGCATGGATAAGTATTATTTACATTACATAAATTTGATTTATGGTGAAATTACATGGTTGCTGTCCTTCCTGACATTAGTTTGTGAGTACAATCTACCAACTAGTCATTCAATGGAGCAAATTAAGAAATATACAGATATTGTGTTCACATTAACATAAAATCCCAAGCATGTGTTGGATGGATTACAAATATTTAGGAAAAAATAAAGTTTGACGTCAATTCCTCCATATAACTTCGTTGTTTGCGACATCGTATCTTGTTCTTGATTAATATACAGATTGGGTATTAATTCATAATAAGTGATGAATTTTCATAGTTTTGTCAGCATTTTTACCATAAGTAACACCAGATGTGAATTCCACTGAATGCAGGTTAATATTTATTATTGTCACGCAGATTTGTTTCACTGCGCCCACCTCAGCTGAAACCACCATTTGTCACTGCATGGTTGTTCCGCACGAGGAAGTTGATTAACTTGTAGAAAGCTATTTGTAAGCCATTTTAGATAATTGGTACTGATTGTATGGGATGCTGCACAGCGTCTTGTTATGGTGACAGTGGATATACCAAGGATTCTGAGTCATGAGCCAAAACCTTGAAGGATTATATATGCGTAAGTGGCTTCAGTTGTTGCTCAGCTTCAGACTAAATATATATATGTGCAACTACCACTACAAGGCAAATAGAAGAGAAGAGACGAGCAACAAAGTCTTAAAGAGGAAAGAAAAATTATGTGGACTCGAATACGTCCTTAATGTTTGTACTTAAACGTTCATATCCGTTGTACATTACCATCTAGTAAACCTATATATATATATAGGAACTACAGTAAGACAGAATCATTGCCAAGGTTCTTTTAATGAAGTGAATACTTCACCACCAATGACTTCTCGGGTGCTCTGGGCATCTTCTTACGGAACTCATGCAGATGCTTAGATGCTACCAATCTTCTCCAAACACCACAAGTTTCCGAACCATAGGGTCATACGGAACTTAGGAGACTCTTGGCAGGTTGCTTCAAACACCACGACTTCGGTACACTAGGAGCAATAAGCGAAACTCTTAGCTCCGTCTTACAAGCTCATGATTTGAGTACGCGGAATGAAGGACCAACCGCTACAGCGTTTGCTATCACAGAAATCATAAAGAAGCGATTGAATCACGAGAACAAGAGCGATTCTCCCCTCATCCGTAAAAGTAGGCTAAAACTAACTCTGCGGATAGGTGTGAATAATTTAAGAATAAATTTACAGTTAACTATTTGGAGTCAAAAATCCCATTTCTCGGTGCGCACATTAGTGGTAAGACGCAACCTCCCGCTTGACCCACCCTAAAACAAATCAGTACCGCTGAGTTCACTTTTCCCAAAATTAACCAAGCCATTAGAACTCTCAAAAGCACTAAGGGTTTTGGCACTGACGGTATATCATAGCACCTCCGCAAATATGGTGTCCCCGAAATTCCAATATTACTGCTCAAACTCTTCACGATGTGC